AACGTTACTCTACTAATATTTCTGTCTAGCAAGGGACTTTGGAAATTAAAAACATATTTAACGGTGCATGTCTACAAACATATACGTAGTTCACAGTTATGGCCTCATATTATATGGTCATAATATAAATAAAAAGTATATGATTAATAATATTGATAATTTCAGTTGTCCTACAATAAAAAGTTGTTCCTTTTTCGATTTCCTTTTGCATGTCTTCAATAGGATATATACTACGCTACAGTTGACTGTCGACTAAGTATAAGTTCATTTAAATTAAATAATTTTTATGATAATTTATATAAAAATAAATATAGTAGTTGATTCAAGAGTAACAAGAAATGAGTGATTAAACGAAACCTAAGGCATATTTTGCATTAAGATGATTAGACGAAAACCCGAAAGGAGAGAAAATTGAACATCACCTGCCTATAATAAGCAGAAACATCAATCTGATAATTGCATTTCAAAATAGGAAACAGATGAAACACCATCAAGTGTGCATCTCCACTTGCAACTATAAAGTTGTAGGGTTTGAATCATCGACAGATTTTCCATAGGTAAATTCTCCACCCATCCTATATTCTTGAAATCGGAAACCCCCATCCGCTATCCCTCCCATCCTAAATTCTTGAAATCAGAAAACCCCATCCCCATCCCTCCCATTTTCAATAATCAAGAAATCTTACAAGTTTCTGTAATTCCAAAAACATTTCTGTAATTCCCCACCCCTCACATTTTCAACAATCAAGAAATTTTTATCATTAAAATAAAAAATCTCAGTGAAGTGCAAAATAATACCCAAAACAGAAATGAAGCAAGACCTAAACAACAATAAAGATAGAAAACTCACAAACCAACGATTTTCAGTGTTATTCACAAGTTTATTCCTAAATTCTTGAAATTGAAAACCCCCACCCCTCCCATTTTCCATCAAGAAATCTTACAAGTAAAACCAGCAATCACAGTAAAGCAAGAAGGAAACATCCTGGATTCTTGAAATCGAAAACCCCCATTTTCAAGGATAAAGAAATCTTACGGTTAACAGACAAAAATGGGTGGTACATTCTTGAAATCGGAAACCCCCACCACTCTCATTTTCCAACATCAAGAAATTGAAATATCCATAGTAAAACCAGAAATCTCAGTGAAGTGCCATCGGAACCAAAAAAAATCCTAAATTCTTGAATTCGGAAATCCCTATCTCCCTCCCATTTTCAACGATCAAGAAATTGAAATATCCATAGTAAAACCAGAAATCTCAGTGAAATGCCATCGGAACCAAAAAAAATCCTAAATTCTTGAATTCGGAAATCCCTATCTCCCTCCCATTTTCAACGATCAAGAAATCTTACAACTAAAACCAGAAAACTCAGTGAACATTTTCTTCAGTCTTTATTCCTAAAAGATGACATTCTTTCTTCTTTCAGAGCCATTTATTCCAAAAAGTTACCAAACAGAAGCTTTGGCGAGAGATGGTTACCTAACGGTCACTAAGGAGCCGTTTTGGTAAAGGAACAAAATTATATAGAGAAATATTTGTTGATTTCTAATGTTCATTTAAACTATTTGTCTCATGTTTCTATAATTCGCTATTATCAATTTATTAACTAGTTATAAATCAAAAAATCAAACTAAAATAAAGCTTCTAGTTTAAATTTTATTTTATTTGATATGGTTTGATTTTATAATTTTAAAAACAAACTAAATTGATTTAAATAAATAAAAAAGGATATTCCTAAATAGTAATAAATGAAAAAAATTGCAATATTAATAATAAAAATTGTAAGTAAAAGAATAAATATTTTAAATCAATTTATATGCTAAAATTTTATAATTTTTCAACACGTTTAAGAAATTTTAGCATATTTAAGTTCCATAAGTGGAGTTAATATCTTAAAAGGTCACTCAACTTTGAGAATTTATCTAACAAAGTCATTAAACTTTTTTATATCAATAAAATCACTCAACTTAGATCTTTATATCAATAAAATTACTTTATTAAATTTATCATTAAAAAAATTGACATAGCAAAATAAATTATTTTTTATGCTATGTAAATATAAATTCCACAAATAAATAAAATTAAAGAAAAATCATTCAACGAAAGTTTATGAATAAACTTAATCGGTGCAATAATAATATAATTTTATTATGTATTTACAATTAAAAATTTATCACAATGGACGTTATTCTAATAATAAATTTTTGTAAGACGTCAATTTTTTTTATACGCTAGTGACCGCAGCAATTTAATATTGCAGTTATTAAGCCAATTATTTGTGAATTGTGAGGACAATTTTTACTGGTCTTTTTTTTGGGGAGAAAAACATCCACTGTAATACATTTTTAAATATTGAATATATAGTAATACCATAATATAATTTTCACTAATTAAGTATTTCGTTAATTTTTTTTTGATGAGTTTTCGTTAATCTTTTTTATTTGTGGGGTTCATATTACATAGCATAAAAACAATTTATTTTGTTATGTTAATTTTTTTAATAATAATTTTAGTTGAGTGATTTTATTGATATAAAAGTCTAAGTTGAGTGATTTTTTTGATACAAAAGAAAGTTGAATGACTTTACTAGATAAATTCTCTAAGTTGAGTGATCTTTTGAGATATTAACTCTCCATAAGTGTACACTTGACCGCCCCGAGGCACCACCTCCCACATCCCCCCGTGGCCTAGTGGTACATTAGAAATGGTACATGCCTAGTTGAATGTGATACTTCATATCTTTAATTTATTTTTGTTTAATACTAAGATATGAATACAATATTATGGTCTGCATTTATTTTTGTTTAGAGGAGTGTTGGAGTTATGCTAATGATGGTAATTATGGTGTTAATTATTTGTGATCCAATTGAGGTGGATAGTGCAATTGGGATTGACATAAATCCATGCACAGTTCCTGCATGCAAGAAACATTGAAGGCCAAAGGGCAACATGTGCAGCGGGGAACGGGGCCTAAAGGAAAATATTGCATCAAAAAACATTGTCTTATAATATAAAACAAAGTTATCTTAAACATGACATAACATTTCTATGCCACCAAAGTCAAAATGAGAAGTATAAAAGTTAAAAGATTTTCCTACTGAGAGAAATATTATTCTTTTTGGAAAGAAGTAAATGGAAAGAGTAACATACAAATTAGAAAATAGACTAGAGGAAGTTTATAGTTCACAAAGGTGATGATTGATTGTCCCTGCATGAGATGTTAGGATGATTAATTGCTTCTGGAGTTCTATGAAGTGGAGATAAAAGTTTGATAGTTCAAAGGTTATTAAGGGTAAGGAGAAGTTATTTTTAGCAGTGATTGAATATTGGAAAATCATCAAAAATGATTGAGACAACACTTCAAATTATCTTAATTGAAACTTGACGCATAACTGTTCTGTAGGAGCTTATTTAGTTTCCAAGAATATAAAACCATTGATAATTTAATAAACTGTGGATATCTTGGAGAGTTAATGCATGCATCCATAGACACAATACCTGAAGCATAAAAGACAGATAAAACAAAAGACAAATAAGAGGAAAACAAATGAAGATGAAACAAAGATTCTTAAGCTTCACGCGCTTTGGCGCAAGTAAACAGAAAAGCTACTTGCCTCACCAACTTCTCCTCTGACACGATTTAGTGTATCTGTACTTGGATTACTTACTTGAAAAGAACTCCATTTGCTGATGCAAGACCCTTGAGAATTCATCATTCATGGAATAGGCAGGAGCATAAGAAGCCACCTTCCATAGTTCTTCATGAACCTCATCTGAATATCCTCCAAGTATGAGAACGGAATCCTCCCTAGAACAGCATTCTCCGTTAGTGGCAGGAGTGAAGGATAACTTAAATGACTAACAGAATTTTCAGTCCTAAGCTAAAATATCAACTCATAAGTTTTCCAATGCCTACAATGTTTCTTTCAGGAAGTGCTGCAAGATGCTCATTAAAATAAGTGTGAACTAGGAAAGTCAGAAAGACATCTGTGAGATTTGCACATGGAATCAAGGGTATACATTTGGGCCAACCAGAATATGAGAAGACACTAATTAGCTTCTATATGATCTTTGAAGTCACAAAAGTTGGTCCTTTCTCATATCGAACAACAAAGAGCGCTAAACCAAAACACAAACACACGCATAAACATGGTTTAAGTTGAGGGAAACAGTGGCCAAATGCTAAATCATCATCTGCTCGTGGAGCCGTTCAGGATAAAATTAGATGCGGATCCAGAATTTAAAGTTCATGAATTAGATACTTGGTGGAATTCTAATCTTTATGCAACTATCAAACATCATAAGTGGAAAACTAAGTATATCTTTTTCTACAGTCCTAATACAGTCTTTTGTGCTCAAGAACGATTTAATCAAAACCATTTAACTTGGTCATGGAAACTCGTGGAGCCTACTTAACTGTTCACAAACTATGATCTAGAGCAATGGTGCACTGTTACCAATTTCTGTCAGAAGTTTATTAGAGTAGTTAACAAATGTGGAATATCTAGGAAATATTGTAGTAAATAGATATATAGATGTAGCCTTGTACACAATAGATGCCACATAGGTAGGTAATACTAGATTTCATTTTTGAAAGGCTAAAGTAAGTAATCCAGAAACTTAAAGGCATTACAATTTGCAAGTAAAACTCAATATGAACAAATTCAACACAAACTCATGAAACTGAAGCTGAAAAGTGAAAAAGTTAATTCACTAACCTGGAGCAATGTAACCACAAGACCTTGCAATAACAGACATGGACGCATTGGCATCAACCGCGTTTGCAACACCGAAGTCAGCAAACTCACCATCCAGCAAGATGTTATTTGATTTAACATCTCTGGGTGGAGTAGAGTCATGACGCCAGTAAGAGAGTCCCTCAGCTGCATCCATGGCTATCTTATATCTCATAGGCCAGTCTAGAAGGCCACTATTGCTGCTTCCATTAGGCATATAGTTTGCAATCCCTAGTTGTAAGACAACATCATAGGAGTGACAATAGTAGATTCCAAGGGTTTAGCAGCAGCGGAGGAGATTACAACTGGTCTGGCACTTTAGGTAATTACAATAAGCATAGCTCAAATATGTCACAAAATGAAAATGCTGCAAAGAGTAACCATATGTCAGAATATAGTGGGAACCAGCAATTAGAGAACCACCACAACCAAGATTTTTCGGCAAGCAGTCATTTTAATAGGCAAATATCTAATCATTATGAGGGAACAGTTCCATACAATGCAAAAGCAATTCAAAATCAAAATGACCAACGATTTCTCCCTGGTGGGGGTTTTGGTCATCAATTTAGTCAGCCAACACTCCAGCAACATGAGCAGAAGCATGCCTCAAATGATTATTATGGGACTCAAACTACAGCCAATTATTCCCAGCAAGCATTTCAGAGCAGCCAGCAGTTTGGTCATGCTCCCACTGCAGGAAGATCATCCGCTGGCCGTCCACCACATGCTTTGGTTACTTTTGGTTTTGGTGGAAAACTGATTGTGATGAAAGATTATAGTTCTTCTGGAAACTCATCCTTTCGAAGTCAGGTTTGTGTCAATTTTTTATATTCTTTGTCTTTCCCCAATGTTTTGGGTTGCAGTACTCTTACTGATGATTGAAAGTATTTGTACATGGTGGGTAAAGAATCCTGTAGGAGGTTCAATATCTTTGCTCAATTTGATGGATGTTGTCTCTGAGAGAGTTGACAGTTCAAGTCTTGCGATGGGGGCATGCGACTATACCCGAGCTCTGTGCCGACAATCATTCCTTGGTCCACTAGTTGGTGGTAGTCCCAGTATCAAGGAGTTGAATAAATGGATTGATCAGAGGATTTCAAACTCTGAATCTCCTGACATGGATTACAGGAAAGGCGAAGGTTTGAGGTTGCTTCTGTCATTGCTAAAAATATCATGTCTCCGTTCTCCTTTTGGTACTGAGGCTGTGTTGAAGGTAAGATTTGAAAATTTGTAGGAGTACGTGCCTGTATTTAGTTATTGATTATTTGTTTAACCTTTCAAGATGAACTGTTGGTTTAAATCAAGCTCTGGTCCAACTAAGTACAGTTTTATTCCACTGCCTTTTGTTTCCTGTTTGTGTTGTCTTTTTAGGCATATAAACTCCTTTCACTCCTACTGCCCATTGATATCTCCATCTAACCTGGTCTTGCTTTAGTTGGATTCGAAAACTTATGGTATCAACACATTCCGACTTTTATTATGGTTTCTTATGTGTCTTACATGTTTTGGGTCTAACATATCCTTTGTAATTTCTATATTTTTATTGTTTGACTTGATCACCTACGGGATGGGTGCATCTCCCCCAAGTTTAAGAAATTCAACTGGCTTCTCTTCCCTAAATGATGAGAGCATTAGGTAGAAAACAAGAAAGAAAATCCAGTATTGGATGTTGACTGCAGTTAAACAAATAAATAGTATATAGTGGTAGTAATAGCACTGCCCCACATATAATAACCAAGAGAGAAGAAATAATAATTAGGCGCTTGCATCACCATGTGAGCAGAGTTGTGAAGTAGGTTAGCTATTGGGCACTGAAATGTCTAGTTTAGTTCCGCTCCATTCTCTACATCACTTTCTATCTCATAGAGTGGCTGGACTCTGGAGGAATTTGGGGGGATGTGTTTCTTTTTCATTATATTGTGTTCTCTTTGATGATTTTCACTACAGAAATACATGAAGCCTTGAGTCAGTTGTCATTTGAAGAAATCTTTTGTTTGAATTAACACCATAGCTTGTGGTACTGTAATACCTTTTACTAACTAGGAAAGAGTATTGATGTTCTAGCTATTATGAATTTATGTAATTTATGCTCTTCACAATATTTTGCTAAACTTGGCGAAGTTTGCTTTTTTGTGTTCCCTTTTTACCTTGTCAAAAGAGAGTATGTAAAAGTATGTCTTCCTTTTTTTAATGCATTTTAGATTTTTTATTTTGTACAATCATCTAGCTTGATAGCGCGAAAAATAGCTTGTCTAAATTTATTTTAACCAAAATCAACAAACTTAGTAGCTGTTGCTAATTTGGTTCTGCTACTTTAACAGGAAAGTGATGTATGTTCCAGAAACAGTAGCCAAATTGTTTGCTTCTGTGAAGAGGAACGGGATGCAACTCAATCAATATGGCACTGTTGCCCAGTGGTTGCAGCAATTGCCCTCTGAAGGACAGATGCGGGTAATTCTTGTGCAACTTTCTGTTCTTAGTTGTTATTTTGATTGTTTGCTAGATCAGCCAACCATTCTCGTTACATGCTCTAGACTACGGCTTCTGAGCTTCAAAGTCTTCTAGTATCTGGAAGAAAGAAAGAAGCATTACAATGTGCACAAGAGGGGCAGTTGTGGGGACCAGCTCTTGTTCTCTCTGCACAACTTGCTGATCAAGTTTGTCTAGTTCTAAGTTGCCCTTTAGCACCCAGCCTCTTCTTCCTCCTCCTCTCTCTCTCTCTCTCTTTATGTCTCAATTATGCATGTGTGTGTATATATATAATATATATATCTTTCTATCAATATATTTTTGATTTCATGCGTAATTGTAGTTCTATGTAGAAACGGTGAAGCAAATGGCACTTCAACAGTTAGTAGCAGGGTCACCTTTGCGGACACTCTGCCTACTAATTGCAGGTCAACCGGCTGATGCCTTTTCTGTAGAATCTACATCTCAACGTTGTAAATGCGGTTCAACAGCCTGCACAGGTTTTGTGTTCATAACTTGTTACAAGCAGCTAGTTTCATTAGCTTATTTGCTGCCTTTTCCTCCTTGAACTCATTTTGTAATGATTTGCCCAAGTCCCAGGAATTGAGCCCTTAAAAGGGGATATTGCCATTGACATACTCTTGTATCTTCATTCTATAGAGTATATCATTTTGATAATCTGTTCTGCAGTTATAACCATAGTATCATAATCATTCTTTAACTTTTAAAGCTTCATCAAAAAGAATTATGAAGATATTTTAGGGCTACCGAAAGGTTAATAGTGATTGAAAAAGGGAAATGGAGCATAGTTTCGTATTTTTTTATCCTTGGAAAAAGGGAAATGGAGCATAGTTTCGCGCAATTAATAATAAAGTTTAACTTAAATGGAAAAAATTCCTTTTCTTTCTTTAGATTTAAGTTATACTCATTATATTATATATATATATATATATTATCACGGTAAATAATTTTATAAATCATATGTATTTGTAATAACAGAATATATAACAAGTAATTTATCTTATTTTAAGATTATAATTTTAGGTTATCTGACATGATAGACATGACCATCTCAACAAGTTTGGGGTCTAAAGCCAAATTTTTCATCACTTATATACAATTACGTTTTATCTATATTAATAGTTTGTATACAATACAAATAAATGTATATAATATGTTACTTATATAAATTCAATTTGTATAATATATTAAAAAAACAACGAAATATACAAACGGAAATTAGCATATCAAATGAAACTGTAGCTATGAAGCGTAATTAGGCAAACTGTAGCCAAGGAGCATTATTAAAGTTCATCATTAGCTATTTATGTAATTTCCTCTATTGTTTTAGTTGTCATATATAAATTGAATAATTCTAACATACTCAATGTAAACCTATAAATTATAGGATTACATTGAGTATGTTATAATTATTCAATTTATATATGTTAAAAGAAAAGAAATAAGGCATTTCTATGATGTTTGGCTTTAGGTCCCCAAACTTGTTGTGGAGTCTTCGGCGATGGACATGCATGGTTTTCACAAATTATGGAGTTTTTATTTTTATATGAAAAAATACGACTTGAGAAATCCAAATTGCATGTACAAACAAAATTTCAATTTCAAAACATGACTTGTAATCATGTCCAAGACAATTTTAATAGCTCAGTTGGTTGGTTACATAAACTCACACCTTCTTGTTGAGGGTTCAATCTCACATTTTATTATGATCTCTTTCCGTTGGGAGGCAGCTAATAACCAATGAATAACAAGTTTAATCTCTATGTTCATGACTGAGTTAGTAAGATTCTAAAACTCTTGTTGGTGAATTCAACAAGTTAGCCTAAAATTTTGGAGAAAAAATGGTGTTAAAGTTTGAATTTTTTTTTCTAGCTAAGCTTAAGTTAATTATATACATTTAAGTCATTTGTCTTTTTTAAAAGATGAGAACTAATTACTCATGGTTAATTAAAGTTTAAATCACAAGTAAATTGGGCTAATTTAAAGGTGGGTTATTTCGAGTTGTTGGTCAAAATCATCCTTAAACGATACCCTAAGCTTAAACTACATTCTTAAAGTATCATTCTTAGTAGAAAATATCCTTGAAGTATTTAAAAGTGAACAATTTTCATCCTTTTACTTGAATTTATTAGAAAACTAACGGATCCCACAAAAATCAAGTCATTCCGTCGTAATTATAATTCTTAGATACGCCAAAAATACTATCGTGAACTTTTTCGATAATTGAGTTTAGCATTATGCAAAATCTTTAAATTTGACAGTTTTTTCATTTATTTTCATGTAAATTGATATTAAAAATATTATTAGTTGAAATATGTTCTTCTCAATTCAATATTCTAGAAGCGACGTTTGTTGGAGACTTATGTTTCTAATAAAGTAGAATAAAACTCAAATGCGAGACATGATTAATATTTTGATCACTTCAATATCAGATTGGCCCAAATATTTATTGATCTAAATACAATTTGGTTTTGAAAAAAGTAAAGATAATTAAGCTTCAACTTCTTTCTGTTACTAAATGAGAAAAAGAGAAAATTATGATGTCTAAGATTTTAATATTTATTTCAGGAACTTCTTATAGCAAGTTATGACATTATGCAAGAAAATTTTGGTTGATAGTCACGTGAACTGCTCATGTTTTTGTAGGATCCCTTAGTTTTTTTGATGATATCTAACAGAAGGATGGAAATTGTTAACTTTCAAATACTTAGAGGATGTTTTTTGCCAAAAAGGATATTTTAAGGATGTCGTTTAAGTTTGGGGTATAGTTTAAGGATGTTTTTGGCCAAAAACTCGGTTATTTCACTAAGAAAAAAAGAAGGGGAAAACATACATAAATATATTATATAAAAAAATATTTATCATTTATAGTACTAACATTTTTTTTCACTTGGACACTTATATTTTATAATATAATTTTAATACATATTGCAGAGAACAATTTATAAAACACATATAATACAAGTTCTATTGATAGATAATGCATTACCACACATTTGAATACACTTTTAATACATTTTGTTAATTTCTTAACAAGCAAGCATAATCTATTTTATAGCACTTATAATATATTTATATGGTAAAAGGGTCAAAAATACCCCTCAACTTTGGTTTATTGTTTGACTATGCCCTCGCCGTTAAAATGAAGTTATTTTTACCCCTCCCGTTACTAATTTCACCAAATTTACCCCTCAATTGGATGGAAATCCCCAAATTGACTCAGTTTAACCCAAATTTAAAAAAAAGACCCATTCCCCATTTTAAACCCAATGCCCGACCCGTCCAAAATTGAGGGGTAAATCAACTAAAATTACCCAATTTCAAGTAAATGACCCGATTTTCTCTTTTAATCCAAACCCGACCCATTTATATCAAATTAGAACCCTAAACCCATCTCTCTAATCTTCTCCATCTCCTTCTTCCATTGAAACACATACTACTAAAATTGACAACAAATATTCTGTAGTTAAATTCATGCATATTTGTCCTTCCTACTAAAATTGCACCACTATTTCAGTGTGGTCGGAGCTTGGAGCTCGTTCAATCATCGGATTTTGCTTTCCTGCGGGCAGATCTGAAACTATGATATTGCTTGCTTGTTGAGCCTAGCCAGATATGAAGTTGTGGCTGTTGTTTTCGAGCCTTGATTCTCGCCTGATTGTGTTGTTGGTTTGATCTGTTAGCAGTGCTTCAGTTGTTTTCCGATGGGGTTTTGGTCGGGGTTTTGTTGGTTGGTTGTTTGGAGGTCGGAGAACTGGTGGTTTGGTGGTCATTTGCTGGTTGTTTTAGCTTGGGTGATGGAGGTCTGGTTCTGGTGGGCTGAAGTGTGGTTTTACCACTGGATTTTGGCGTACAGAGGGTGGTGTTTGAGAGCTGTTTCAGGTCGATTTTCACGGCTATTTGAATGATTCCGACGATGGGTGGTTTGCTTAATGTTGTTCCAGCTTGGAACTGGCCGGAAATGGAGAAGAAAGATCTTGTTGTCGTCACTAGAAAGTAGAGGAAAATGGGTTTGTTGTTAATGTTTTCTGCTTGATGTCGTTTCTGGTTTTTGGGGGTTTTGAGTGGTGGTTTCAGGTGGTCGTTTGGAGGTTGTTTTGGTGGTGTTTCGCCGGAAAACGGAGAAAACGAATGGGGATTGCCGGAGCTTGATTTGGGTTTTAATTTGGTATAAATGGGTCGGGTTCGGATTAAAAAGAGAAAAAATTGAGTTATTTAATTGAAATTGGGTAATTTTAATTGATTTGGGCTTTCCATCCAATTGAGGGGTAAATTTGGTGAAATTAGTAACGGGAGGGGTAAAAATAACTTCATTTTAACGGTCATTTTAACGGCGAGGGCATAGTCAAACAATAAACCAAAGTTGAGGGGTATTTTTGACCCTTTTCCCTATTTATATTGCATGCACAATTCACTTCTAATATGTTGTACAAATTTATCATAATATTGCTATAAAAAACACCTAACTCAATGCAGTTTGAAATATTATCAATTTACTTAGGCCTGTTCAGCGCATGAACACACTTCATTTTAGTTTAATCAATAATTTGCTCATGAAATTTTCAAATTTTAATTATAAAATTTATATATTTGTAAACTATGTAAAAGTACTATAAGTTACAATAATTGGCAATTCAAAATATTTTGAAATATCTCGTTTAAAATAAATGTAACATCATTAATGTCTTTTTAATATCTAAAACACTATTTATTTTAAACAAAATTAAAAGATTCAAACACACTTATTTTAGAACAAATAAAAAGTATATATCACAACTTAAATTAATTTTTAAAATTATATAAAAATGGATTGACTCCAAATTTTATTTGTATCATATAAATTAAAAAAGACAAAGTAATGTATATTAGGTTTGTGCTAGCAGGAGTTCTGTATGTAGTAAGGAGATATTTAACTTTTTAAAGTATAAATGCATATCCAAAATTAAGTCAAAATTTTAATACCATGTAAATATAACATTTTAGGAAACTTTTCTTGTAACATTTTAGGAAACTTGGTTTAAGGAAAACAATTTAGGAAACTCGATTGAAGGAAAAAAAAATAATTAGGAAACTCGGTTTAAGGAAAAAAATTAGGAAATTCGGTTTAAGGAAAAAAAATTTAGGAAACTTTTGGAGTGTCTAAACTGTAATATATATGCGTCAATTCATGAATGAATTATTTGACAAAAATTACTTTGAGAGTACTAAAAAAAAATCAAATTTCGAGAGTCAAAACTTTTTTATTTTCAGTTTTTGTTATGGCAGAAATCTATGTTGTTCCTTTCTACAGTGACCAAATTGAAGTGACTGTTACGAAGAATGCTGTCGTTGTTAATGATTGGATTCTGGAGACCGTTCATGTTCGGAAATCCAACAAACTTCTTGTTGGACTTGATATCGAGTGGCTGCCCTGTTTCAACCCTGACGAAAATCACCCTGTTGCTCTACTCCAGCTCTGCGTAGGACGGCGTTGCTTACTATTCCAACTTCTCCACAAAGACGGCCTTCCAGCATTCCTCGCCAAGTTCCTTGGAGATCCGAATGTCAAGTTTGTTGGAGTCGGGGTTAAAGGAGACGCGGAGAAATTGCTTCGCGATCATAAGCTGTTTGTGGCGAATACTGTGGATTTGAATCGATTGGCATTATCGATTTGTGGAGAGGAGGTGTATGGGAAGATGGGGTTGAAGAGAATGGCGAAAGAGGTGCTTGGGAAAGTGATGGAGAAGCCAAAGAATGTGACATTGAGTAAGTGGGATGCAGAGGAATTGGTGTATGAACAAATTGAATATGCTGTTATTGATGCTTTTATGTCGTTTGAGATCGGCAGAAATTTGCTTAATTTAGTGTGGAAGAGAGAAAGAGAGAGCCGCCCTCTCCCTTGTGTGCCATATTTGAATTGTCATTATCAACAGCCATTGTTGCTGCTGCAAGATACTCAAGGGATGTTTCAAACATTTGCTCTGTTTTGAGTGGGAAAATATACTTAGTACCAGAAAGAATGTGATATTTAGATAGTATTTGTTTCTTCTTTTTTGGAACAATTGTAATAGTAGCAGTTTATGATAAGTCGTTTGCAACAATTTCTTTTGTCTAAGCATTCACTTTTAGTTATATAATTTTTATCAAATGAGAGTTCCTTTCCTCAATGAATGAATATTTCAACTGTACAATGTATCTCTAGACGACTTTGCTTGTGTTTATAATAACAAGTTTCTGAATAAAAACCTATATCCCTACATCTAAATAAGCATTTGCTTTCAACATACAACTGATCTTACAAAAAGTAGCTAAACAAAAAAAGAGAAAAGGGGGGGGAGGTATATTTGTGGTGTGAGAAGACAGGAAAGGATTTTCCATCTTCATTGACCACATACTTCACTGTTTACCACCAAAGAGAAGAGATTCCGAGCAGGATACCATGACGACGAGCAAAACTTGGTATATACATCTTGTTGCGTCACAGGTCTACTTCATGAAGGTCATCACCGAGACTGCCGCCATAAGTTGAGGAATGCATCGAATTAACATCACTAGGCATGAATGACGACGGAGGCATACTCAATCTAGAGCCCAGTGGTTTTATTTCAGATTTATTTGGGGAAAAAGCATCAGGAAAGCTGCCACTCCATGATGCAGTTCGCCGGGAGTTAGCTGATAGAGAGCTAGCAACAGCTCCTTTATTGGAGAGGTTGTCCATGCTTGCAAATCTTTGGATAGGCGCAGCGCTTGATGTTGGTGCAGGAAAATGGGTCGATCCATTAACAGCAGAAACTGAATCACTCTTGCTATTACTTGAAGTTTCTTGCTCATTGGAAGTACTGTTCCCTGTCTCTTCAACAGGGGACATCGGGGCGTGAACAAAAAACTTGGCATTGCAAGCAGTAGCAGGCTTTATGGAAGGAACAGAAGGTGACTGGAATAGATTAGTTGGGTTACCACCACCTTTATTGAATGTGTCAACATACCTGCCAAAAGAAGGAAAAGAAGCCAATCAGCTTTTACCATTGAGTTACAGAAGAGAGCACCACATGCACTTATAGCCTTTCGGTGACCCTATTCTTTGTACCCAAATAAATTTTCTGAATGAAAGCCCTAGTACATGATCAGATGAAGTACTTAAGTAGGTTTGAAACCATTGCTTCTGCATCACTTTCAGTGATGGATTATTTCTTACATTGTTAAACGAGCTTGTAAATCAAATTTGATCCTGGAGCCACCATTACTAATAGACAAAAGTGATAAATGCTCGATAATATTTTTTGGATCAGTGTCTCATCAGGTGGATGTGTAACACAACATACCCTGTGTAATCCCACAAAGTGGGATCTGGGGAAGGTAGAGTGTACTTTTCTCCTACCTTGGAGGTAGAGACGCTGCTTCTGATTGACCCTCCCGCTCAAGGAAAAACAGTTCAAAGCAGTTCGGAAAAAGAAATAACGGAAGTGAAGAAGCCATGGCAAAATACTATAAAAAGCATGACAATCAGGTAGGTTCATACACTAAAAGTTAGTTTGACACATAGGAGCTTATCAAGTATTACTCTCACTAATTTAAAATACTCTCTCAGGACCGGACCAACTAAGTAAACAATGGCTGTTTTGCCTAAGCCACCAAAAGGTTCAATCAGGTAGGGAGGATTACTCTTATAGCAGTCCAAAGATATCACTGACCATACTAGGTCTCTACTGGTACACTTTTATTTTTATTGGTCTACTGGTCCAACCATTTCATATATAAATAATTAACACACAAAAATCACTTGCCTTGAACGAACACCCATACGACCACGAGCAGAGAATTGGTTGGAGGTAGGTGGAAGAGGTGGAATTCCAGCACCATTATCAGAAGAAGTTGGACTCTTCATTTCCGGAAATCCATTGTTGCATATAGGACTTTCACTTTTCAATACACTTTCCACATTATAATCGGGCGCTCCATTCTGGAAAACAGGAGCGGTTGGTGGAGGTGCAAGGGGTGGTTCTGCAGCAGGAAGTTCAGCGCCTTCCTCTACCCATCTTTTAAGTTATTCATCATAATAAAATTTATTTGAATCACCCAATTTTGCCTACAAGGAATCAAGACAAAAGGAAACAAGCGTCAACATCAAATTTTGTGAGGACTACAATCTAGAAAACAACAAAGATGAGAGAAAAATCAATATCTACCTGACGGCCTTGACGTGGTTTGAGTACTAATCCAACAGTTTTTTGGAGAAGCTGGGAGCCAAAGCCAAAGCAACGAAAGCGTGATATCCCTCCAGCTCCTGATGCATTGCTTCCTGTGTTACTTGAGCATGCGTCCTTTGATGAGTCAACCTGATCCAACACAAATTCACAACAAACTTCTCTTTTCAAGCCAAATTAGATGGATACAGTCCAATGTAATTTTTACAGAGAAACAGGATAAGACACCTGTCTTGGAGTTCTCCCAATGTCAGGCTCTGAAACACTTCTATTGTGTATCGTCATTCTACTGCTATCAGCTGCCCATTCACTACTTGGCTCTGAGGGGATCAATGATGTAACGACTTGGAAAAAAATGATAGGTTAAGCAAGAGCCTATGACTTTGTGTTGACTTTATAATGAGGTTCTATGAGGGGTTTATATGTAATTTCGTTTTAATTGTGTAACTCCGACAATTTAAAATGAATAAGAAGAAGCTTGAAATTGGAAGTAGTCATTTTTGGAAAAAAATTCAAAATCTGGAAATTCGGCCAAGTGTGGAAATCAGTGAGTTTTTGGCCAACTTTGAGCAGTCATAACTCCTAGCTCAGGATGATCCAGGAGTATTTACAGTTATGTTTGGAAAGCCCTTGGAACGATCTTTCCAACGCCACTAAGTTTGCTCGATTCCGAGTTCGTATGAGCGAGTTATGCCCTTTGAAAGTTGGGCAGTTGGCAGGGAGTCCGTCCGGAAATTTAAGGGCATTTCGGTCTTTTCACAAATCTTTTCTTTTGAGGTTATATTGTTGTGTTAGGCTGTTTGTGGATCATTTTTGTTCCATTTTAAAAGAATAAGAGTTAGGGTTCTTGAGTGAAGAAGAGAAGAAGAGAGGAAGAGAGGAAGAAGAGGAGTTGGAGCTAGGGTTGAAGATTTCTTGGTGTTTCTTCTTCAAATTTCGTGGGGAATTCATCTTTAAGGTATGGGGATCCTTTATCCTTGATCATTCTTTCTTTCAAGGAGCCCAATCAAAAGGTTTTCAAGGTCTTTCAAATACACCAAAATCCTATTTCGAATTCTAAGCATGGGTCCTTGCATTAAATGATTTCCAATGATGTTTTATGTTGTTATTAATGATTATTGATGGTTTTAGGAAAGAAATCTTCATGAACCCATGCCTTTACAAATTCTCTAAATTTGGCCTAAAGTGGGTGTATTGATTTTGTGTAATTTGATGGACGATTATTGTGTAAATTGTTGTGGGCTGTTCATGTATGTATTTATCTATGTTGAATTGTTAAGAATTGTTATTGAATTGAAGGATGTGGGATGTTAGCCTTGAATGGGCAAAATTGTGAATTGGTCTTCATGTTGATTATGGGCTTATGCTTAGCTTAGTTTGTATAGTTGAATCTTGTTATTATCATTGTTATTGTATTGTTAATTGTTGGAATATGAGGATGATGAAGATTGCCATGGAAAGAGGGTAAGTTGATCAAACTTGATAAATATTGTATAATTGGCATGAAATTGAGTATTGTGGCTTATGGCCTTTGAAAAGGGTGGTAAGATGGCTTGATCTCTTAGTATTAATATAATTGTTATTGGTTGGTTTGATCCACCTTTGGTGGAGGTGGTTATTTGTTGTATTATTGTGAATTGAGGCCATGAAGGGCATTATGTGAATGTTATTATATTGTTGTATTATTATACACATATGAGGCTATATGTAAAGTCCTATATGAAGCTATATGTAGAGTTTGATGTGAAGCTATATGTGAAGGTATGATGTGAATGAGTTTTATATGAAGCTATATGTGAAGGTATGATGTGAATGAGTTTTATATGAAGCTATATGTGAAGGTATGATGTGAATGAGTTTTATGTGATCTTGTGATGATCCTATGTAAAGTGGATAGCATTGTGAGTTAAAGTATGATTTCTTATGATGTATATATGAAATGATGTTGGATTATGAAGTATCCTTAAATGAAAATGTTGTGACTTGGTTGGTAGACTAAAGTGTCCCTCCTTGTTACTTAAAGTCTTGAATGCATGAATGTGTGAAATGGGCAGAACTAAGAAATGGTGCCCTTTCTATAAATGTTAAAAGAGGAATTCTAGGCCAAGACTTGAATCGGCAAAACTAAGAAATGGTGCCCTTTCATAAGTCTAGCTTTCCTAAGTAAATGTAAAACCATGAAATCGGTAGACCTAATGGTGGTAGCCCTTCTCATGTGTGAAATGATGAACCTTGGACCGGCAGGCTTAAGGCACCCTTAATGAAAAATCGGTAGGCCTAAGGCACCCTTCCAGGGGGATTTAATGAGCTATCCTTATGAACCTTGATTGGCCATGACTAAGAAATGGGGCCTTTCTTGGGAAGAGGAACTATGAGTTGGTTGAACTAGAAAAGGAACCTTCTCTAAGTACATATGTGATTGAATACTCTAGGGGAAACAAGGCTAGCACCGAGTGGATGTGGTTAGGAAGGTGGCCTAGTTGAGTATGAGATTAGGCACAATGAACTTCCTTGGACATCCCCTAAACCATGTGCCTACATGGGTTGCTTACTAGTTCTACCTTTGGCAAGTAGAACAACCTCCACGGAGTAGGATAGACTCCGGATTCCATACCTAGCTAGTATGGTCTATGTCGGTTATGCCTATTCCCATCATGTGGGATGTGCACTCTAGTTATTGGATATGTTCTACAACGTGTAGGTAGTAGTATGGGATGCTATCTACACATGGCACGAGTAGGCTTTGAAGATACTAAAGTGAGTTCCCTAAGTCTAACGACTATTATGTGAAAGTCCCCTTATGTTCTTGAATGTCTCCAAAATGGTTTCTTAAAGAATGTTGGCCTATTGATGTTATGTTGTAAAGGAAATGTCCTTATCTAAGGTAATCTTGAGGAACACTTAAGTGTGCTTGAAGAGGTTGTATGGGCGGTCACTTCTTGTCTTACTCAAGTGTGTCTTAAGATTATATTAGGTAGAGGTCCTATGGTAATGAAATGACATGTGTTCTTTTAAAGTTAAGCATGAGTTGTATATGGACATATGTTGATTATATGTATGGTGGGCTATGGTCTTATATGTTAATGTTGACTTGTATTATGTCTCTTATACTTGTAAAGGAAAGGTTTTATCAAATTGATATGAAAGCATTTATTCTTTGAAAATGTCCTTTTTGACATATTTTTGCATGGTCTCCATACTTAGTACTTAATTGTGCTAACCCCTTTCTTTCCCTTTTTTGAACTAAAGTGTAGGGATTTGGAGAAGATGACATGTCATGGCTTTGATAGGTTTCTAAGTGTTGAAGATGAAGACTTGGTGAGTCCTCATAGATTCGAGGACAATACCCAATACGTTCTTTTATGTCTTTTAGTATTGTTTAAGTTGTGTACGGGATTAGTCCCGAAATTTGTACTCTAAAGTATTAGATGGTTTTGAGACATCATGCATAAAGTCTAGAAAGTCTTCCGCTTGCTATTGTTTTTTTTAATGAAATGTTTTCTTGGTAAAGAAAGTTTTTAATTCCTTATGGCTTTAGTGTCTATGCGATGAATGAATGCTAAGAGGCTTGTATTAGACCTCTTCGAGGTCGAGTACGCCGGTTACGACTAGGGGGTGATCCCGGGTCGTGACAAATGATGACATTGCCATGGTTGATTGACTACTTGAGACTCTAGGCCACACAAACTGATGATGATGTTCATTCCCTTGTGAACTACCTATAGAATTTGTGAACTCTTACGAAGAAGAAAAGAGAATGTAGAAACAGAGATCTCTTGGAAGAATCTAGAAGAAAGCTACATTTCAATGTGTATTATTAATTCATTGTGTGTGCCCTTTTACATTTCAGCCTCTATGTATAGAGGATTATATTTGTTGTTACTAATTAACCTCACAACTAACAGTGGTAACAACTTAACTAGCTGCATAACAAAATGTAAAGCACGTGACTCTACCTAACTTGTTGAACTGACCAATCACAATACAACAACTCATCTTATCTATATTTCAATACACCCCCTCAAACTGAAGGGTGGAAGACATCTAACACACCAAGTTTGGTCATGAGGAGATGATGTTGACTACCACCTAGCCCTTTTGTGAGTATATCAACAGGTTGCATGGTAGTGGACAAATGCTTAAGTTCAATGAACCCTGACTTCACCTTTTCTCGAATAAAATGACAATCAATATATATGTGCTTCGTACGCTCATGAAATACTGGATTTTCAGCTATTTGGATGGTTGATTTGCTATCTATGAACACTGAGATTGGAGTGGCACCTGGAAAGTGTAGTTCATCTAGTAATCCTACTAACCAGATTAGTTCAACAACAAGGGCCTGCCAAACTTCTATACTCTGCCTCAGCTGAACTCCTACTTATTGTCGGCTGTTTCTTTGATTTCCAAGAAATAAGAGAATCTCCAAGTTTTACCATGTATCCAGTTACTGATCTTCGTGTGTTTGGGCATGAAGCCCTGTCTGAGTCACAGTATCCTGTGAGTTTTGTAACACCAGTCCCTCTTCTAAGCATTACTCCAAGTCCTGGAGATTTTTTAATATATCTTACAACTCTTAGTGCTGCCTCCCAGTGTGAAACCTTAGGGTGCTGCATGAATTGACTCAGAACCTGGACACTGAAGCAAATGTCAGGTCTGGTAATTGTCAAATACAACAATTTACCAATCAGTCTTTGGTATGCTGTAATATCTTCTAACTCTGCATCATCAGATCCACCAATGTATTGATCAAACTCTATGCTGGTCAATTTGTGGTTGAACTCTAAAGGAGTGCCTACCGTCTTTGCTCCACTCAGTCCAATCTCTGAAATAAGTTGTAAAGCATACTTCCTCTGATTCAGTAATAACCCCTCTTTAGACTTCAAGATTTCAATCCCCAAATATCTAAGACTTCCCAAGTCTTTCATTTTAAAATTTTTGTGCAGTGTGTCTTTGGCTTCTTGAACCATTCTGGAGCTATTCCCAGTTATTAAAAGATCATCAACATATACTAAAATCACAGCCATTTCAGTTCCTTCCATTCTAATGAAAAGAGAGTGATCATGAACACTTTGAGAGTAACCTGTTGCCAACAATGCCTCAGTGAACTTAATGTTCCATTGTCTAGATGCTTGCTTGAGACCATAGAGTGACTTCCTCAGTTTGCACACCTTAGATTCCTTCTGCCCCTGAAAGCCCAGAGGAAGTGCCATATAAATGTCTTCAACTAAATCACCTTGCAAGAAGGCATTGTTAACATCCATTTGAGATAAGTCCCAACCATAGGAAGCTGCCA